CTGCTGTTAATTTTGCTCCATTTCATATACCTCACACTCCCTGGCAGAGCGTTGAAGTCTGAAGACTTTGATCAGACCCATCTCTAAGCAAACTAAACCTTGGATATGTACTTCGTAGCCTCAGTGCTATTGTTTTGATGCTTCTGTGCTGAGCAAGCTGTCAAGCGGAGGAAGTTGGAAAGTGGCTGACCACTTCTCTGCTTCCAGGTGGCATACAAGAGCCATATTCTGTGTTGTGATCAGATTCATTTAGTTCCCCCGTGAAAGCTGGGCGATGTATTTAGTTCACAGTCCATTTGACGGTAGCTGTCTGCTTCTTATTTTTGTTAACCACATTCAGGAAAAACAACAACTTTAAACTTCCTATTTAAGTGTCATTGGAGGCGCTTTAGAAATGTGACTCTTAACAGCAGAAAACATAGCAGAGAACTATATAAGAAATGACAGTAAATTCACTTTAATCTTAAAAATAGACCAGTAGGACAATGCTAACCCCAAGAGAAATTTGCAGCCTTCTTCCTGTGAGTGGATTTGCCAATAAAAGCAACTAGACAGTTCAATAAAACTAATTAAATTAATCGGTCATCTCCAGGGAACTCAAACAGGGCATGAAATAGGGAAACAGTGTCAATTCAGAGCTTTTTATTGATGTGTTGTGCTGGATCATTGGAAAGAATTGGTTGGGAGAAAAAATTTGCAATTTTCTGTTGATCATAAATTCGGTAGCTATTTCTATGTAACCTTCATTCAATATAATATGAAATCAAATATCATATAGAGCCCCTAAATGTAGAAAAAAAACAGGCATAGGGATGCAAACATAATAGATTATTTTTGAAATAATAATAGCTCACCTGTTTCACGGATATTTGTTGTCCTTAGATCTCAGTGGTATTTGCTATGGAAACTACTTCATCTCCGTGGTGCAGACAGAAAAAGATAAGGCATAAAGAAGGGAAATGACTCGTGTTGGTTTGCACGGTACCTCACTGGCAGCACCAGATAAGGACAGAGGCACTCAGACTCTGGGAAACTTTGACATCTCTTGAGAAACAGTGCTTCCCTGACAGCAATTCTTTGTTCTTTTCTGTGATGCCTTTATTACTAAACAATTTCTGAAGATTGTTTCAGATGGAAAAAAATGGCTTT